GGAGACCAGCACTCAGTCCCCAACGGCGCTACCACCCATGGCCTGTGCACAGCCCCTGGGGGCTTGTAAACACAGGCATAGTCTGCTAGGACCAACTGATGCGAAACTGCTCCCCCATGAGCAGCGAGACTGGGATGGCCAGGATCTGGAAGACAAAAGAAAACTTGAATGCCAGGTGGTTCCCACCCACAGCCAGGCCTTGGGTGTGCAGGACACAAGCATCTGATGATGGACACAGAGCTGTCCCCTCACTGGCAACTGGTTCCTTTGGGGACAAGGTGCTGTTTGGCATCTCATGGTCTCCATCATAACTGCCCTCTAGAGATGGACGGGAGGAAGAGGGATGACATCCCACTCTCCCTGTTCTCTCCTGTGAGGTCTGAATGTTCGCTGCCTCCTCTCCACAGTGTATCCACGATGTTAGGGATCCTCAGCATCTCCTGTCCCCATACCCACTGAGGTACAATAGCCCCTGTCCCGACCTGCCCTCTTACCTTGCTGTCAGGGCTGTAGGTGAAGTTGGAGACAGGGATACCGTTGGAGAAGACCTGGGTGGGGGCTGTGGTCACACCTACGACGGACACACTCCTCAGCTGCAGGTTGGCCCCCTCTTTGGACACATGTACCAACTCATTCGTGATGGTGTTCTGGCCGTGTGGAATGAGAATGTGGTGTCATTAGACAGAGTAAGCCCACCAGAATGGGCTCACCAAGCATCACGGGGCAGCCTCCTCTGTGCCGACATGAGGGGTACACTGACCCTGAGATGCCCGGCACAGTGCCCCACCCAGGGATAGTGGCCACTGGGGACCCTGGCCCAGTCCCTTCACCAGATCAGGACAGGCCCCCTCCATGATGACTACACCCATCAGACCGGGCAGGCACCCAGGACTCACGTTCTTGGCTTGGAAGGTGACCTGTGTATAGGCCCCCTGCTCCAGCACCCCAAGGCTCTCCCCATCGTCCCAGTACAGCTCCCCATGGGCCTCGCCACTTGTTGTTAGGGCCACAACCAGAGCCATGGGCTGTTTTCGTGACTCTGTGGTTGTGAGGTCAGGACCCTGGGGAGATGGACACTTGTCACCACACTGACCCTGGAGAGCTCTAGTACGGGACAACATAGAGCCGAGTCAGCCAGATGCCTGTGGTGACTGCCCTGGCCAAGGTGTCAGGTGGACCCTAGTTTGTCCAGTGTCTCCATGGCTGCCAGGGGCTGATCCCTGACAAACTCCAGTGAGGGACATCAGCCTCCCTGGTATCCACCCCTACGGAGGAACCACCAAAGCCTGTTAGCCCTCCCCCAGGACCTATAGCTGCCAGAACTTGATACCTGCAGGGGCACAATGTACCCTGCCCGCAGATTCACATTGATGGTGTCCAGTGGGGTCGAGAGTGTCACCCACTGCCCCTTGCTGTGGATGGCAGAGCTGAAGGCTGCTGAGGGCAGAGGTGGGAGGCTGCCAAAGGCCTCCACTGGCACCTGGAGGGAGGTGTCATGTCAGAAGAGTCCCAGGCAGTTCCCAAGATCCCCTACTGTTAACTGAGATCTGTGTTCTGTCCCCCAGGGCTCTGTGTGGAGGCCCAAGAGACCCAGCTGAGACAAGCTGGTTGTGACCCCCAAGGGCGGACTCTGTGACAGAACAAGGATTTCCTGGCTCAGCTCGGCATCCAAGATGGCTGTAGGATGCTGGCAAGCCTGTTTCCTCATCTGGAAGTGGGGGTTACTGTCAGGAGCTGAGTGGGATGTAAGGAGCACCCAGGCGAGAGCAGTTGGAGCTTCCGTGTGGGCGTGCTGTCATGCTGACAGGCCAGGAGCACGTGGCCACTCGAGTCCTCACTCCTAGGTATCAGACTGCCCAGGACTCACGGTTTGCAGGTTGTACCATGTGCCAGCAGGGAAGTAGCCCGTCTCTTCAGTTTTCCCGGGCTCAAGCACGGGGGTGACAAGTAGGGCCGGCCCCAACAAGAGCTGGCGGTCCACAGTCCAGGTGCTGGGATCCTCGGGGAACCTTCACAGAAGAGGGACAGGCCTGAGGGTCTGGTGATTGGGGCTATGGGGTCAGCTGTTGAGCTGCAGGGTGAGTCAGAAATTCCTGTTTCTGGG